CAGTGAATCAGAATTAATAATGCACAACGACGTTCGGTTAACCAATTTTTCAACCCGATTGGTTCGGTTTATTTTGGTTTGACATCGAACTAAACCGATAACCAAATACATGTTAGAAAAACACAAACCGGCAATTAAGAATATCTGAATATGTAGTTGTAGAAACCTATGCTTTAAACAAATATCATTTTTCTTGTTTTTGATATTTAGATTCGAGATGATTAAAGATAACACAAGATAAGATAAGGGGAAAAAGGAAAATTTGCCATTAATACAACCAAAAAAATTATAATTTACAGACTAACCAAAAATCCTAAATTCTAAGGCTAGACTGTGCCACATACCCTATTTTTCCAATTTTTTTTTTGTTATTTATTAAAAAGACCCAGGGAAAATGGGTAAAAAAAAAAAACCATTTAACCATTGTAACAGCAAAAGATTCAAAAACAAAAGAGAACATTTTGACAAGGGAAAAGTAACACTTGACACTTAATCTGAATATGGTTACTTCAATTTTCTTCTTCTTCGTGTACCTTAATCGTTAAGTAAATATCAAAACCTCTTTCATCGGTTCCTCCTTGTGGCAATAACATACGCCATTAAATCTGAGAGCACCTCAGCCGCTTCCTCCAGAGTCGCCTTCGAATCTTCCAGGTAGTTCCAAAGCTCTAAAACCACATAGCTACCACTCGGGTTATTATCCTCGATCTCTTGTTTTGCTCTTATTACTTCATTATAAACTTCTTCGCCATATTCGTTCTTAAGCTTAAGCAACTTCTCGTCGTTTTTATCCACCACTCTCTGCAAATTTCACATTTTGAAACGTTCTGATGTTTCATTTTGAGATAAACTATATGAAAAATAAAAGATGCCATATTTTGAGATTTCAAAGTAAAGTCCAAACCTTTGGTGTTCCATCAGATTCATCGACTCTAAATGGATGCCATTGCACATTTCCAATGTGTGATTCCCACAATGAACACAATTCCCTGGCCTTTTTCTCTGTCCATGAATTTGAACATCTATATTTCATCTCAATCGCTGCGGAAAAGGGGTCAGGGTTTAATTGCCCCATTCTCTTCACTCTAATATTTTCTTCCCTCATCATTCCTTCATTCCTATTCCATACCTATCCATCAAAAGTAAATATTAGAAAAGTGAAAAACCAAAAGAAGAGACATTATTCATGAATGTTACTATTGCTTACCTGGATCATCTCTTTACGAACGTCTTGATACTCGTCGTTGGTTACACGTTCTTTTTGTGACAGACTCATCATTCTGTCTTGTAGAGCTGTTTCTCTAGCTTTGAGCTCTATCTGAGTCTTGGCAATCTTATTCACAAACTCTGCATCTCCATCACTCCTCAACATGTGTTTCATTACATTGGTGTTACCTTTCAGCTTCTCTATCTCTAACTCAAGCTCTTGCCTTTCGTTTAGCTTTGATTCAATTTCCATTATCTTTTCATGAAGCTTCTCTTTCTCTTTCTGCAAAAGATGAACATGTAAACATTAAAATTTCTAATTTGTCTAATGAATATATTATACAGTCCACCTAATGAAACTACTTGCCTGATGCTTTTCCGCAAGTTTGATAGCTTCTTCATCTGCTACATTCAGCTTCCATATAGCCTTTTGATTCTCATCCTATAACCGGAATAAAGAAAAGAAAAAAACAATTTATGTAGCT